ATGGAGTTCAAGTTGGGGGAGATGGAACCAAGCAAAAAACATAACAAAATGGTATTTTAAGGATTCGAAATTTAGGGACCAGGGCGATAGTACAGTAGGTAGAGTATTTGCCATGTACATGGTCAACCTGGGTTCAATCCCCAGCATCCTAAATCTGCCAAACACTGCCAGGAGTAATTCCTAAGTGCAGCGCCAGAAGTAACCCCTAAGCATTGGCAGGTATGTCCCAAAAACCTCAAAAAGATAAAAAAAAGAAAACTTTGTGGATGAACTCACAAATCAAAACGAACATTTGAACTCACAAATCTAAACAAGTATTTTATAAAAGAGAAATTACTTGCACGTATACATATATAGTTAGTATGAACATAAAAATTATAGCAACAAAAATGTAAAGAAAAACAGTAATAAACTACATTAGCTAAAAATGCTTGATAAAATGGCTTGGCAGGAAAGGAGAGTTAATATAGTGGATAAGATGCATGTGGCAGACTAGGGCTTGATCCCTAGCACCCCATACTATCCCCTGAACCTCGCCAAAAGTGATCCCTGAGCACAGAGACCCAATAGTAAGCCCTGAGCACCATTGGTTGTGGCCCCCCAAATATAACAAAACAAGAGAGAATTTATACTTCTAATGATTTTTTTTTTGCCTTTTGTGTCACACCCAGCAATGCACAGGGGTTACTCCTGGCTCTGAACTCAGGGATTACTCCTGGCGGTGCTCAGGGAACCATATGGGATGCTGGGAATAAAACCAGGTCGGCTGCATGCAAAGCAAACGCCCTACCCATTGTGCTATCACTCCAGCCCAGTGATTTTTTTTTTAATTGAGTCATCCTGAATTACTAAGTTGTCCATGATTGAGTTTCAGGCACACAGTATTTTAATACCAATTCCTCCCTTCCTCCTATGTCCTCAGCTTCCCTCTCATCTCCAATCCTCCCTTTACTTCTACGAATTTGTTTCTAGAAGTCATTTCACAAATGAGAAAATCTATATGCACACTGTAGTATGACTGAGAGTGAAAACATGAGAGTGGTCCAACTCCATATCAATTAAGGATTGATTGGGGGAAATTTGTACAAAATTCTAATGAATCCCATGTAATTTTCAGATGCAATGGCATTGTTACATTTCACTTGATCACTTGATCAGTTGATCACTTGACAACCTGTTACTCCTTGATTTGCACCGATCATTCAGAGTCTTGACAAAGAAGTCTGACCATCTCGTAGGTGGATGGCCACTCGATCTTTTGACATCCCGTGGAATCCAGTCGGTAATGGCTCTAGTCCTGAGGTCATCTCCAAGTCGAATTATGTGTCCAGCCCATCTGATTTTCAGTGCCTTGGTAAACGAGACAGCGTCCCTGATTTTCGATCGTCGACGGAGGTCAGAACTCCAGATTCTTTGTCTCACTTGATTGAAGAGTGATACTCCAAGCATAGCTCTTTCCATTCCTCTTTGGGAGATCCTCCACTACCTCCACTACCCAGACGACACCATGCTCCAGGCCACTTTCCGGACACTCGGGCCGAGACTCACTCATGAGTGAAGCCCCACAGAACTAGATAAGCAGAACTTTGTGACCTCGGGCTCCAGGTTCAACGGGACCTGGAAACAGAGATCCTCTGCCTGCTCCCACCAATCTCCGGCGACCCAGGGATCCCACGCAGAAGCCCCACATCTTCGAATGCAACAGTTATGTGTACCTAGGTCCAGAAGTCAATATGATGAATTACCTGGCACCTGAGTTGTGCAGGAAGAAGAGAGTGGCTTGGAACGCCTTTGAGAGTGTCGAAGAAATAGTTAAGAGGACGAAGAACCTCTGGCTCAGGGGCACATCTCTTTGATTCCACTGTTCTTTATGCATTAACATATGCCTCAGAGACCTGGGCCCTACGCAAACAGGATGAGAACGCTATTCAGGTCTCCCAAAGAAGAATAGAAAGAGCTATGCTTGGAATATCACGTTTCACTCAAATGAGAGAAAGAATCCGGAGTTCTGACATCCGTCGACGATCAAGGATCAGGGACGCTGTCTCGTTTGCCAAGGTGTCAAAAATCAGATGGGCTGGTCACGTAATGAGATTTAAAGACGACCGCTGGACTAGAGCTGTTACCGACTGGATTCCACGGGATGTCAAAAGACCGCGTGGCTGCCCACCTACCAGATGGTCAGACTTCTTCATCAAGATCATGAACAATTGGTTTGAGGCTCTTCATGTTCCCAGAGCGAACAGATGCCATTGGGCTACAATAGCACGCGACAGGGACAAATGGAGACGTTACTGGTGCCCGCTCGAGCAAATCAACAACTAACGGGAAGTTAAGTGATTAAGTTCTTTCTGCATTAACGTATGCCTCAGAGATCTGGGCCTTACTAAAACAGGATGAGAACGCTATTGTTATATTTATTGACATAAAAACAATGTTTATATAACTGGTGAACGAAACATTTTATAAGGTATAAATACAGAATGGTCCTTTTAGTGTATGTAGTGAGTTTCTTAAAGGGGACTGTCTCTCGAACATAAGTTCCAGGTGGATAGGAAGTTTTGTGTTCTTTACTGTGGTCCTAGATCCTAGAACAGAGTCCAGTACTTCTAAAAATGTTTGTTGCACTGTAGCAGTGTCCTCTCGTTGTTCATCGATTTTCTTGAGCGGGCACCAGTAACGTCTTCATTGTGAGAAGCGTTGTTACTGTTTTTGGCATATCGAATACATCACGGGTAGCATGCCAGGCTTTGCTGCGCCGGTGGAATACTCTTGGTAGCTTGCAGGGCTCTCCAAGAGGGGCGGAGGAATCAAGCCCAGGTCGGTCATGTGTTAGGCAAATGCCCTACTGCTATGCTATTGCTCTGGCCCAATGTTTGTTGAAAGAATAAAAAAAAAACCAAATAGACATTTAGAAAGTTCTTTGCCAGGCTGGAAAGATGGGAAGTGGGTAAAGCACTTGCCTCAAAGGCAGCCAACCCAATTATGATTCCTGGCACTACATACTTTTCCTCAAGCACCACTTTAAAGAGTGACCCTTGAGTCCCGTCAGGTGTGATCCAATCCCTCTCAAAAGAACGTGGTTTTGCTGAAAGTGTAACATTATGGGTTCTAGTAATGTTTCCTTTATCCTTCATATTTTCTCTTATTTGAATTGCCTTTAAGAACTTTTACCAAAATGGGTCTTAGAAACATGTCCAATGCTGCTGCTAGTGAGACTATAGTAATCTGCCCTAAGCTTTGATTTAGTTTGAAAGTTTTAGAAAGCCACTTGACATTCAATATTCAAAAATCACAAAATCATTTCTTTGTTTATTAATAGGACATGAGATTATAGATCAAAAATGCAAAATATGAAGTGTCCTCACACCAAAAGGCATTTATGTCGATTTATTTTAGTTTATTATTATTCAAGTATCATGGTTTACAATAGGTTAATGGTTAGGTACACAAGGTTTATGCACTTCCAATTAACAAAGTGCTAAAGGTTTTCATCATTGTCTCAACAGCGCATTTAATCTGTCTCATTTTTTCACATCGACTAATCCCCAACCTCGGGTAGGTTTCATCTTTTTTTTTTTTTTTTTTTGCTTTTTGGGTCACACCTGGCGATGCACAGGGGTTATTCCTGGCTCTGCACTCAGGAATTACCCCTGGAGGTGCTCAAGGGACCATATGGGATGCTGGGAATCAAACTCAGGTCAGCTGCATGCAAGGCAAACGCCCTACCCGCTGTGCTATTGCTCCAGCCCCGCATCTCTATTTTTGTACTAGGAAAAGAAGAATCCTGGATGACTCTAAAGGGACTCCTTTTGTAACAATAAAAATAAGCTATTGAAAATTCACTAGTTGAAATTTCAAGCAGCCTCAACCAACTCTGGATTCCTCGCGGCAGGAACAAAGGTGGCTGAAAACACAGACCTGCAATGACTTAAATAAGAGATGATGTTGTGTTAAAACTGGAATTCTGCCTGTGGTTTTGTGAGAATAAGAGAAAGAATGTAGGTTTTAGAGTTATACAGGTTGTTAGTCAGGCACTGTTACACAACCGTTCTGTGTCCTTGGTTGATCATGCTCCCTAATCTCTTAATGCGTCAGTTTTCTGATCTGTAAAACAGCTAAGATACTGCCACCAACTACTATCTGATGACGATGAACGTGAGACAATGCCCATAAAAGTAAAAGCCAGGCAGAGTCAGGACTCCTGGGGTTACTATTTATTTATCTGGGGGGTATTCTATATTTGGGGGTGGGTTAGTTATTTATTTGAGGGGGCTGTCCTTTGGGCCAAGACTCAGAGACTATAAAATCCAGATCCCGGAACATCTTATCAGAACTTTTTTTAATGACATCTTATTGTCTCATTCCTACTTTGGACAAACTTGCAGGCTACCGGATGTAGCCTGCCCACAGGGCAGAGTCTGGCAAACTCCCCGTGGCGTACCCAATATGCCAAATACCAGTAACAATGATGGGTCTCATTCTCCTAAAGAGCCTTGAATATAACCTCAGGGCTAGGATGAAGGAGACATTACTGGGGCCTGCTCTAGGCAATCGACGAATAACAGGATGATTTGTGACTTGTGTGATCCTTTGGTGGAATTTTATGTGTAGGGTGTCCATTTCCTTGTTAATTTTGTCACCGCCCTTTCCAATCTTCCAAAAGATGGCCAATTCCTATCAGACTCGGTGGCAAGAAGAAATCGCTGGAAGTGGAGGCCGAGCCTGGGCATGGGACTCGCGGTGCAGCAGTGACTGCGAGACGCGGGCCGCCGCACGGGGGCGCCGGCGCGCAGGTGCATGCGTGTGTGCGTGTGTGTATGTGTGTGTGTGGTGGTTGAGAGGGGGCGGGGTGGAGGAAGAGCGGTGGCGGAGGCGTTCCGGGGAATGACCAGCAGGTGGCGCTGCCCCCGGAGGGCGCCGCGGGGACCGGAAGCCGGGCTGGAGCGGGGCCCGGCGCACGCCTCGACTCCTCCCGCTTCCGCTTCCGCCGCCGCCGCCGCCCCGCGCTGAGTCGCCGTCTCCGCGCCCCTCCGCCGCCGCCGCCGCCGCCGCCGCCGCCGCCGCCGCGATGCCGCTGGAGAACCTGGAGGAGGAGGGTCTGCCCAAGAACCCCGACCTGCGCATCGCGCAGCTGCGCTTCCTGCTCAGCCTGCCCGAGCACCGGGGCGACGCGGCCGTGCGCGACGAGCTGATGGCGGCCGTGCGCGAGAACAGTGAGCGCCGAGTCAGCGGCCCAGAGGCCCGGCGGCCTGCGGGGTCCCGGCGCCGGGCGCGGCCCTCGGAGCCCCCGGGCGGGCGGGCGGGCGGGCGGGACCCGGGGCGGCGGGGGGCGGCGGGCGGGGGCGGGGAGGGCCTCGCGGGGGTCCCAGAGCCGAGCCCCCACCCCCTTTCCTTGGCGTCGCTGCCTCCGCGCGTCCGTGCAGAAGGGGGACGGGGCCTGCCCCGGCTGCAGGACCTCCGAGGCCTCGTGGACGCGACCCTCACTCGCAGCCCACCCCGGTGTCATTGCCCCCTCCCACCCACCCGGGGGGGTGGGGTCCAGCCCGGTGGGTGGCCAGCAGCAGCGTGGGTGTGGGCGCCCAGGCCCCCCTGCGAGTCGCCCCCTGCCGCCCGCCCCCGCAGACATGGCCCCTTACTACGAGGCCCTGAGCAAGTCCCTGGACTGGCCCCTGGACCTGGACCTGCTGGGCAAGATGAGGAAGGCCAACGAGGAGGAGCTGCAGCGCCTGGACGAGGAGCTGGAGGACGCCGAGAAGAACCTGGGCGAGAGCGAGATCCGGGATGCCATGATGGCCAAGGCCGAGTACCTCTGCAGGATCGGCGACAAGGTGGGTCCCGGGGGTGGGGGTGGGGGTGGGGGTCCCGGGGGTCCCCGCCGGCCTGGGACGCCCGGGACAGCGCCCGGGGGCTGAGCGCCTTCCCGCCTGGTCACGAGACCAGGGGTCCAGGATCTCACGGTCCCCCCCGCCCCCCAGCGGGGAGCAGCCCTGGAGCAGCCGCCAGGTGTGACCCCAGCCCCCTCCCACCCTCCCTCCCCGTCTCTGTCTCTCTCCTCTCTTTCTGTCTCTTTGTCTCTCTGTCTCTTACCACACACACACACACACACACACACAATCAGAGATCGGACAGCAGGTGGGGCGTTGGCCCCGCCTGCTCACCCCCAGGTTCAACCCCGAGCATCCTGCATGCCCCTCTGAGCCTGGCTCGAAGTGGTCCCTGAGCACCAAGCCTGGACCAAACCACGAGTATCGCCGGGCGTGGTCCCCAAAATGTGGGTGCATTCAAAGGCGACCGGCTCATCTTTGCTAATGTCCCTATAAGAAACCGACGATTAATACCGAAGTTCTAGACTTTTGTTTTTTTTTTCTTTCCTACCCTCAAACGTCAGCTGTTTTGTTACTTCACTGCATTTACAGACACACGGGTACGGGTGGGAACTAGATGGTATTGTGTCTCGATTTTTGGAAGGGAGCTGTAGCGTCCTGATGCTGTCCCTGTACGCTTGAATTCAGGTTCGTATTTGGGAGATCTCCTGTGTAAGTCTTGCTGTTTCCGCTTAATTGCTGTCTCGTAGGCTGTTGTTGGGCTCTGCTGTGGTTTATTTGGTTATTCGGTTGTTGACGGACTTGGGTTATTTCACCTCGCTGTTAAGAAACTGCAGTGAAAACACGCTTGTCTGTGTCTGTATACACCTTCGCCTTTCTTTAGGGTACGTTCCGTATAGTAAATTGCTGAGACAATGAACAAGTACTTTTTTTCTTAGTGCATGGGGCAGTTCTTCCACTACCTATCCAGTCTAGACACCGAAGTGCAGGAGAGGGATATCCATTACCAGATGTCTTATTTTTAATATGTAGTAGTTATGCAACAGATATGAGAATGGCTTTTGAGACTCCTTAATTTTAGTCTCTTTGTCCTGAAGTACAATATGTCATGAAGAGATGTCAGAGGCTGGAGCAGTAGTAAAGCAGGGACTAGTACCACTTGCCTGGCACACAGCTGACCCAGGTTTCATTCCCAGAACTCCTTAAAGATTGCCTGAGCCCACCAGGAGTGACCCTTGAGCACAGAGACAGGAGTAAGTCCTGAGCACTGCTAGGTGTTGCCCCTTCTCCCTCCCCCCCATCCCCAAATAAAAAACATAAAAAGAAATAAACTTGTTATAATGCTTGACGAGTGGGGGGAAGTGTAGGCTAATATTGAACAAAATGACATTATTTGAGAACATAGAACTGTATTTAACTTTTCTGTCCTTAAAATTGTGACTTTTGCATAAAGTCACAGTTTCTAAGAAGGCATCTATGTTAACTAAAGGCCTACCGTATTTAGGTGATGGCTGATATGACTGATTAAAAAAAAATGTGTGTCAGCCCTTGGATGTGAAGCCCATCGCTTCAATAATAATGATTTTGGGGGACGTTCATTTATTTATAAAGTTAATGGTAGTTTCTGTACAAGGAAGATTAAAGATAGGGACAAAGAATTTAGGCATGAAGTGCTTAAATGTCGAAGGTTAGGAGTTACTCTTTAAATCAGAAGCAACCATTTTGCTTTTTTTCCTCAGTATACTTTATTTCTCCTTTTAATTTTGGGACCACACTGATTGTGCTCAGGGCTTATTCCTGGCTCCCTGCTAAGGGATCACTCCTGGCAGGGCTTAGGGGACCAGATGTGGTGCCAGAGATCAAACCTGGGTCTGCCACATGCAAGGCAAGTGCCCTGCCCACTGTATTATGGCTCTGGCCCTTCTGATGATACATTTAAGGTTTGGTTGTTGTAAACATATGGAAAATCCAGATAGTTTTAAATTCCTAAATTTTGGAAGCCTCTGTAAGCCTCTATCCCTCTCGGAAAGACTGGCAAGCTACCGAGAGTATTCCGCCCGCACGGAAGAGCCTGGCAAGCTATCCGTTGTGTATTCGATATGCCAAAACCAGTAACTACAACTGGTCTCATTCACCTGACCCTGAAGGCTTCACCGACATGGCAGCACTGAGAAGGATGAGAAAGGAGAGGCCGACAAAATCTCAAGGCTGACCTAGACTGCCACAACGAAGGAAGACAAAATGATCGTCTGTACTTTCAATGCACGTATGCTAGCATCAGATGCATCCATCGAGGACCTGATGGTACAAGCGCGAATGATCAAGTGCGATAAAAGAGGTGTTGGAGGCCTTGGTGTCCTTGTCAACACAAACTTGGCCAAGAGCATTGATTCATTCGAATGCCTAACAACCCGAATCGGACGTTTACATTTGAATAGATGTGGCTCACTGCCTGCAGTTTCTATCTTCCTTGTCTATGCACCAACATCTCATTATGATGAAAGAGAAATCGAGAAGTTCTACATGGAGCTAGAAAAGTCCTATAAAGAAGACCACACCTCCTACAAGATCATTGTGGGTGATTTTAATGCCAAGATAGGAACGAGAAGATCAGCTGAAGAACTCCACATCGGGACCCATGGCCTAGAATGGAATGAAGAGGGTGAGAGACTGTCTGAGTTCATCATGTCGACCAAGACCATTCATGGTAACTCACAGTTCCAGAAGGCAGAATCTAAACGATGGACATGGGAGTCTCCCGGTGGACGATTCCACAACGAAATAGACCACATCATATTCAATCGACAGTTTTGCCTGACTGATGTCGCTGTTGTCCCAAAATTTCGAACAGGATCGGACCACCGTCTCCTTCGTGCAAAATTCTACTTCACAGAGCGGGGAGAAAGGGCTGCAAAGTTCAAAAAGAGAACTCCCAGAATGACCACCAACTGGGAACTCTTTGGCACTATTGCGGCAACATGGGAAGATGCCATTGTTGACAACATTGACGAGGAATACGATTGACTGGTTCAGCACCTCCATGAATGTGCGAGGAACGCCAAGAGAGAGATAGCCACAATAAATCGCCTATCTTCGAAAACTCTTGAGCTAATTCGCCAGCGTGGTTTGGTGCATGCCTCAGGCAACCTCAAGCTAACGTCCGAGCTCGCAAAGCAGTGCAGAGATGCGATCAAGGAAGACCTCAAAGAGAGAAGAGCAGAAGTACTGGTAGATGCGGCAGAAGCCGGGAAAAGTATTTGTAACGCCCGCCTGTCCTTCGCCAACTACAAGACCGAGATGACTGCCCTCCGACGTCCTGATGGATCCATCACATCCTCCAGAACGGCAATGGAGAAGATTATTCATGACTTTTACTCAAATCTCTTCGATAGCCATGTCCACTTGCCGACATACCAAATTCCACAGGATGGATATGTCGTTCCCAACATTCTCCCTTCCGAAATCCGACACGCCATTTTGTTGGTAAAGAAACAAACAGCACCCGGCCCAGACAAGGTCAGACCTGAACACCTGAAGAACCTGCCGTCAGTACTCATCAATACACTGGCTCGGCTCTTCACTCGCTACCTGTCTGAATGCAAGGTTCCGTCCCAATGGAAAACCAGCAGGACCGTACTACTGTTCAAGAAGGGAGACGTCCATGACATTGGCAACTATCGCCCGATCTGCCTATTGTCTGTCATCTACAAGTTGTTCACTCGAGTCATCCTAAATAGGATTGGCAGAACACTAGATGAAGGACAACCATGCGAGCAAGCCGGGTTCCGCAAAGGATTCAGCACCATCGACCATGTCCACACAATAACCAAGCTCATTGAGGTTTCTCGGGAGTTCAAGATGCCGCTCTGTTTAACGTTCATTGATTTAAAGAAGGCCTTTGATTCTGTTGAGATGGAAGCGGTCATTGAAGCCCTAGCCAATCAGGGCATTCAAGCCCAATACACCAGGATCCTCCGTGAGCTGTGCGGATTCACTACCAGGATCTCACCATTCTACAAAGAAGTGATCGTTGATGTCAAGAGGGGTGCGGCAGGGTGATACCATTTCACCGAAACTCTTCAGTGCCACCCTCGAGAACATCATGCGACAACTGGAATGGGAAGGAATGGGAGTGAAGATAGATGGTCGGCAACTACACCACCTCCGCTTTGCTGATGATATTGTTTTAATAACACCAAACATCAGCCAAGTGGCACAAATGCTGGCCGACTTTGACCGTAAGTGTGGAAAGGTAGGACTACAGCCGAATCTTACGAAGACAATGTTTATGAGAAACAGTCTCGTTCCTGACGCCCCATTCACTCTCAATGGAACGACCATCTCCGAATGCAACAGCTATGTGTACCTAGGTCGAGAGGTCAACATGACAAATGACCTGGCACCCGAGCTGCGCAGGAGGAAGAGAGCGGCTTGGAACGCCTTCAAGAACGTTGAAGAAATAGCTAAGAGGACGAAGAACCTCCGGCTCCGGGCACATCTCTTTGATTCCACTGTTCTTCCTGCATTAACATATGCCTCAGAGACCTGGGCCCTACGCAAACAAGATGAGAACGCCATTCAGGTCTCCCAAAGAAGAATAGAAAGAGCTATGCTTGGAATAACACGTTTCACTCAAATGAGAGAACGAATCCGGAGTTCTGACATCCGTCGACGATCAAGGATCAGGGACGCTGTCTCATATGCCAAGGTGTCGAAAATCAGATGGGCTGGTCACGTAATGAGATTTAAAGACGACCGTTGGACTAGAGCTGTTACTGATTGGATTCCACGGGATGTCAAGAGACCGCATGGCCGCCTTCTTTGTCAAGATCATGAACGATCGGTTTGAGGCCCTCCATGTTCCCGGAGCGAAGAGATGCCATTGGGCTACACTAGCACGCGACAGGGACAAATGGAGACGTTACTGGCGCCCGCTCGAGCAAATCGACGACTAACGGGAAGTTAAGTGATTAAGTGAAATTTTGGAAAAGGCAGTTAAAATTACTAATAATGCAGGTATTCTCCCTACCCCTTGCCTCAAATTTAGAAAAGATTTTTAAGAAAGTGGGAAAAGAAGGATTCAGATTATGGGCCTCCTTTTCTTTCTTTTTTTCTTTTTGTTTTTGGGACGTACCTGGCAGTGCTCATGGCTTACTCCTCGTGGGCTTGAGGGACATATAAGGTGCCAGGGATTTAACCCGATCTGCCTCATGCCAGGCAGTCACCGTACCTGCTGCACTCACTCTGGCCCAGATTTTGATTCTCCTTGAGCAGCGTGTGGGTTTTTTTGGTTTGTTTTGGAGCACATCCCAGTGTTGCTTACTCTTCTCTGTGCCCAGGGCTCGCCCCTGGTGGAGGCTCGGGTACCGTATACGGTGCTGTGGCTCGAACCTGGTCAGCCGTGTTGTGCAAGGCAAGAGGACAAATGCCCTACCCACATGGACATCTCTCCAGTCCCCCCGTGTGGGTATTTTTCTAGATTGTGTGCGGATGGTTTGGTTTTAAGAGTAATATTTTCTTAAAGGTGAATGAGAACAGCTTTCGTGCAGGCCTTGAGAAATTCAGCATGGAAATGGCCGATTCAGCGTCAGGAGATTGTAAATTGGGAGTGTTCTGATATCCGTCCTGATGAGACCTAGTCTAGAGGCTGGAGACATAGCGAGATAGTGGAGGTTTGACCCCTGGCATCCTGTACGCTCTCCTGAGCACTGTTAGGAGTAATTCCTGAGCATCACCAGGTATGGCCCAAAAACTGAAGTCTAAAAAGAAGGCCTGAAAAAAGAGTATCCTCTTTTTTATATTTGACATTACTTAATGGATTTTTATTCACTTCGTACTGTTGATAATAACCGTTACTTAAGGACCTCAGTTTATTGCGGATTTTTCAGGAGTATCTACTTTAGACGTAATTTCATTGGTCTTATATTCTCTTGCAACAAGATGTTTGGTTTTTCTCTCCAGCTCTGGAATCATCCATTTTCCTAGGATCTCTGGCTGGGTGTGGGGTCGATAGATAGTGTTTAGAAACCAGGTTTTGAGAGCTCCGTGTGCCCATTAATGTCACGGCAGGGCGTTTGCCTTGCACGCGGCCAACTGGGCCGACCTGAGTTTGATTCCTCCACCTTCAATTCCTTCGCCCTTCTTGGAGAGCCCAGCAAGCTCCCAAGACTATCTCACCCGCATGCAAAGCCTGGCAAGCTACACGCGACGTATTCGATATGCCAAAGACAGTAACAAGTCTCACATTGTTACTGGTCCCGCTTGAGCAAATCAATGAGCAGTGGGAGGACAGTGACAGTTAAGGGTTAAAGTAAAAACTTGCTCCCGGAAGACAACACAGTGTAGGAAATCTCTCCAGGTCCAGGTCCCGTACCCGACCAATTTCACTGGGGCACCCCAGATGGAGCAGGTGCAACATCCCTGCTACTCCAGATGGAATCCTGCAGACCCCGAGCTTCCACAAGGAAGCCCCGCCCCCGCTCCCCCCTTCCCCCCACCCCACACACCAGTATGTGGGTTCCAGGACTAATCTCCAGGCTGCATGTTGGCAGAGGACCCGGGCTGCCTCTCCCCCGGTCACTGCCAGCCCAGCAGACTGGCAGTCACTCCCACAATTTGCCTCTGGGTGCCATCTTAGTGCACCAGCAGCCCTGGCCCAGAGACTCTCGGTTGATGAGCAATAGAAAATAAATTATCTAGCGTCTGCCCCTGGCAGGTAGGCTGGTGATGGGACATTGGTGGTGGGAAATTTTGAGCAAAACATAATGTCCCAAATTAGGGAGAGAGTATTGGGGAAATTGTCTGCAGGGTGAGGACTGGGATGTGGGTGGTGGGAAATGTGCACTCGTGGAGGAATGGGTGTTCCAGGGTTGTATGATTGAATCCCAAACATGAAAGCTTTGTAACTATCTCATGGTGATACAGTTTAAAAAAAAGGTAATGTGAAGTTCATGCCCAATTCAACCAGCTTAATCAGTGGCCGAACAAGTAGCTGTACTCCTACATTATTAAAAAAAAGGAAAAGCTTGCTAAAAAGACTTCAAATATGAGTCATGATTTACTTTAACTCACTTTTAAAAGAGTAAAGTACTTTATTTCGCAGCATCTTAGGATGGAGTAACAGTTGCATTTTAGTAGTTACTACAGTAAAGTTTTCATTACCTTTTCATACTTCATACAGGTGTGGAAAATTGTATGCTCAGTTCCCTTGTGAATCATCACTCAGCTTCACTGTTGCCCCTCTTGTTTGGGCGCTGTTCCTGTGTCCTCATTCCTTGTTAAGAAATGCCCAGATAGCTGACAGTTTGCAGAATTTATAGTTTCTTTACCTGCTGGCCTTCTTTCTCTTTACAGGAAGGCGCGCTGACAGCCTTTCGCAAGACATACGACAAAACTGTGGCCTTGGGTCACCGTCTGGATATTGTCTTCTATCTCCTTAGGATTGGTTTATTTTATATGGATAATGATCTCATCACAAGAAACACGGAAAAGGCGAAAAGGTACTTTTTTTTTTTCAGCAATGACGTTATATCCCGTGCGACTTATAAAAGAAACTGGTGGAAGACATTTACTTTTAAGTACTAGTAAATTTTGTCAAGTAATTGACGTAGTGTATTTGGTGAAATACTTTCTGTATTCTTGGTTTATGTTAAAAGTTTTTTCTTTGGGGCTGGAGCAGTAGCACAGTCGGTAGGGTGTTTGCCTTGCACGCGGCTGAGCTGGCTTCGATACCCAGCATCCCATATGGTCCCCTGAGCACCGCCAGGGGTAACTCCTGAGTGTAGAGCCAGGAGTAACCCCTGTGCATTGTCGGTGTGACCCAAAAAGCAAAAAAAAAAAAAAAATTCTTTAAAAATAGAACGAAGCTATAAATTATTTTTTCAGATTATGACCTTTCTATTCTATCTGGTGTTTTTTATAAAAGCTTAATAGAAGAAGGAGGAGACTGGGACAGGAGGAATCGCCTAAAGGTATATCAGGGTCTTTATTGTGTGGCCATCCGGGATTTCAAACAAGCAGCGGAACTCTTCCTGGACACTGTCTCCACATTCACATCCTATGAACTGATGGATTATAAAACCTTTGTGACATATACTGTCTATGTTAGCATGATCGCCTTAGAGAGACCAGATCTCAGGGAAAAGGTAATGGCAATCTCAATAACCTGTTTTTAAGATTGCACCATGCTTCTTTAACCTAAACATACAAAAATCATTAAAATGTTTACTGTGTTGAATCCCTAGGTTATTAAAGGAGCAGAGATTCTTGAAGTGTTGCATAGTCTTCCAGCCGTTCGACAGTATCTTTTCTCACTCTACGAGTGTCGCTATTCCGTTTTCTTTCAGTCATTAGGTAAGGACAGAGTGGCTCTTGCATGATCTGTTTTCATCTCCTGATCCTTTGTGCATAAGACTGAGGTGATCTTTCACATACAAGGAAACAGTGTTCGTGGGGTTGGAGCAATAGTGGGCATCACCTTACCCGCAGCTGACCAGGGTTCAGTCTTGACCTCTCGTGGACCCTGAGATGATACCAGGAGTGAGTGAACCTTGGGCATAGTGTCAGGGCTAAGCCTTGGGAACTGCAGGGTGTGGCCCAAAAACCAAAAAAAAAAAAAAAAAAACGGGGGGGGGGGGTGGGAAGAGAAAGAGAAGGAGTGGGAAGAGGGAGAAGAAGAAGAGCAGCAAACGCAGAGCCGCAGGTCTTTCATCATGACTGAATCTCTGTTGTGGGAAGCTTATCATACTGATGGGTTTTTATATGGCCCTAGAGATAAATCGATGATTACCTTTTTTTAAGCATTGCTTTTTTTAAAAAAAGGAAATATCTAGTAGCCATCTTTTTTTTTTTTGCAAGAGTTGTAAGGGAGTCTTAAATCCCTTCCTGAATTGAGATTGAGCCTGAATTCAGCAATAGGCCCTTTATGCAATAGCAAAATGTGCACTGATTCAGTCATTTTCCAGTGCTGCATAATGAAATAATTGTGTTCCTCCAAAGCAAGTTTACAGTGACATTACCTGGAATCGTTTGCTCTTACCTAACATAAATTTGCTTATTCTTGTCCTTTCCTTCCTGGCCATTTGATTTCTTCCTGGTCAGTTTATAATTAGTTATCACCGTGATATAAGAACATGTCAGTAGCAACTTCACAAATCATCTCCCTAGACGTGCCATTGATAGGGTTCTCTTATGCATGCTGCACTTTTTAGAAACTGAGGTTTTGGTTGAGCAGCGTTCAAGAAAATTAGAGTGCGGTGGGGGTCTCCAAATGATTCTGTTTATGGGGTGGGTTTTGACCTAACACTTTGCTTATGAAATGTTTCCTTCGTAAAGCCTTTTTATTAGTAATTGGCAAGAGGAAGGTGGGAGGAAATACATTCCTACTGTAATGAAAATGATACATTTTGGACATCTTGTTAAAACATTAACCTCTTCATATTCTCCCCATTTCTTACAAGCAATGTTTTAACGATTCTGTGTAAAACTTTTTATTTCCTATTTTGCATGTTTTAATTATTGCAACTGCAGAAGACAGGGTACTTAAATTTCCTTTGGATGGGTCTTTTTACTTGTATCGGTGATTCTCTGCTTTAGTGAGAGTAACTGGATTTTACATGACTAATTGCTTTTCTGGTGTTCATAAGCTATGCCTTTTAAAAGACGTTTACAATGGGCTTTCCTGCCGCTGCCCCAGGGGCTGAGGGTTGGCCTCGGGTGGTCTGATGAGCTGCTGGCTGCCCTCTCTATCTAGGTGTTCTCTGCCCCATGGCCCTGTGACTGCCCCAGCACTCTTCTGAAGCCAGTGTCCCCCTAAAGCCATGGAAGCTACGGACCTCCCCCAGAGGAGATATGAACAGGAAAAAAATCTGAAAAATAGAAATACTTGATTTGGAAAATCAAAGGATTTCGAAATTTTTTTTAAGGAAATACCTTTCTTAGGTATTAAAAACTGGGGCTGGAGAGATAGTAGAATAGGTAAGGAACTTGGGTGAGCAGCATACACCTGGCACCCCGGGTGAGCCCCAAGCCCCACCAGGAGTGGTCCCTGATTTCAGAGTCACTCCGAGCACAGTCAGGTGTGGCACAAAACCCAAACAAATCTGAAACAGTGTTCAGTTTTATTCTCTCCAACCTATCCACTCCAAATCAGTATATAGATTCACACACAAATTTCTGGATACCTGTTTTCAGGTTTTTAAATAGGGCCCTATTTTTATTCTTTTATTATCACCTTGAGAAAGTAAAACAACACAAAAAACAAAGGATATATGTTCGTTTGAGAAATAGTGTCATGAAAAGTAAAAAGGCTTTCTTGCCTAGGGCTGCTAACATCCTTATCTAGAGGCAGTTGTCACTAAGTTTCTCGAGTGTGTTTCAGGACATTTGTCATCCAGAAATTCAAGCATAGGGCCCCTTTAGGATTTCACTTGCTCATCCACCTCCTATTGCCCGTCTTCTTTCACGCTGAGCTTGTCCTTCCTGCAGATGGTCTCTGGGCTCTTCCTGCTGGACACTTTTGTGTCATTGCCGGTGCCTCCTACGCCTTCTCCGCCCAACCTGTGGAAGGCCTAGCCACTCTGTCATGTCACTTTTATTTTCTTCACGAAATTATATGCTCTGGGTATCTTGCTTATTTGCTTAGCTATACCTTTTGATTTTTTTTTTTATGACAGTCAGGATCTCGTCTGTTAAATGCAACACCATTACTGAAGAAGTAATAGAGCAGTTTTTCCGTAAAATAATTTTTACCTGCATGGGTTACATATTGTTGCTCTGTAGACATTTTGCTCTCCAGTTAGTCTTTGTCAACTTTGTAAGAGTCCTTTATAGATGAAGACTCTGTTCTATGTGCTGTTATTCTGAAAGGGAGACTCAATGATTTGTCATCTTTCTCATTGCAGCTGTTGTGGAACAGGAAATGAAAAAGGACTGGCTTTTTGCTCCTCACTACCGATACTATGTAAGAGAAATGAGAATTCATGCATACAGCCAGTTGCTGGAATCATACAGGTCATTAACCCTTGGCTATATGGCAGAAGCCTTTGGTGTTGGTGTGGAATTTATTGATCAGTAAGTTTGATACTTTTTAAAGTTACCTTTTACCATGTGAACTTGTACAGTTTCTGTTTCTGTTGCTTCTCTAAATTACATTATTTCTCTAAATACTATTGTATAGTCATTTATCATCTGCTTTCATGATGTTCCTTCTATTAATAGTTGGGGAAACTTGAGTTGTAGAGAGGAGAGCATAAGTGATTTGTGAAAGCTTATTAGATCAGTTGTTAAATAAAGGTAGTGCTCTGTTCCTTCTTTGTGGACTGTATCACTAGTCATGACTCTTAGGTAATAAAATGGAATAGAAGAGGCCTGAGGATGCAGCGTGGTTGTGGTTGGCAGAGAGGCAAGCACACAACTTCTAGGGACCTTCGTGTGGTGCTTGGATTTTGATCTCGAAGATATGGGAAGCGGTTGGAAATTTAGAACAGAGTGCTGACCTGGTGTTATGCTGTCTTACATCATGGTCTGTCGGACCACCGGGTGTTGCTTCATACAACAAGGAAATGTTGGCTTCATACTTGGGAGATGGGAGTTGAATTTTGAGGACCTGACTCTCGTGCTGTGAGTGATATTTAGATCAGTTTCTCCAAAATATATAAATGTTCTTACAGTTATTGTTAGCCTACAGTGAAAAAGCAATAATTACTTAGTAATAATAAATAAAGCTGCATTTTGTTAAGACCTGTTTTTTCCAGTATTTCTTTCCAGATTTGATGAAATATACTGTAACTTTTTGTCATAGTTGCCTTTATCTCATTTTACAATCACTTCAAAGTTGTGTCAGACACCAGCACATTTCATCCTAAACAATTTAATGTGCATGTTAATCTTAATGGATTTGTTTTGAGATAATAGGAAAAAGCACTGGTCTTTAGTGTAATTCAAAACTCTTAGGATCAGTTGTGAAATTTCCACATTCTCTTCCTATGGGAAAAAACGGCAGCAATATTTTTGGTAGCTTTGTTGTGTTTTTTTTTTTTTTAAAGGCAGGTATTTTGAAGTTGGTTTTCTTTTCATTTTTGTATCGGACTAGCTCATGAAATTCAAGTCTAGTAACCACTGTGTGATAGGGTTAAGTACTGGGATGGATGTGACTGGTCATACCAATGTTTTTAATGGAGAATGATGGGAATGACTTACTGTAATGTAGTGTGGTGCATCAGAAGTCGGCGTTGGCCTGCTTATTGTCGTAGGTCTGCTAGGTCTGCTAGGAAATAGTTTTGTGACCTTCATCAGGTTTTGAACTGTTGTGTCTTAATTGATAAGGAAGTGATTAGGTTCTGCTTGGCAGCAATGTGGGGCTCAACTGAAGTTGCGGTTCAGGTGCACTGAAGCCGGAAAATACCGTTTTGACAATTACGGTATTTTAAGTCATTAGGATGATGTTTAAGACAGGGGTATTGTAAGCACAGCTCTTGACAAAGGCACCACGAAGCTTTAGTTCTCTGTCAAGGCCCTTTTGAGAATCTCTGAAACCAGATTGAAGTACGGGCTTTAATGCTTTTCTTTCTTCCTTAGAGACTTGTTTTTAAGTGAAACGCTTCCTGGAAATTGGGCTTAATAAGTTTGAAGAAAATTAAGTTTGAATTATTCATCATTCTCCACTTAGACTCGTTTAAGATTTTGATGAAGAAAGGGACAAGGCAGTATTGAATAGATACTATTCTTTAAGATTAATTGATTAAGGTTAGAAACTATTTGTGAGCTTTACAGTTGTTGGTAGGTTTTGGTAAGCTTGTCATAAAATCTGACTTTTTACATTCTGTTCATTCAGTACAGTTGTTTTTTATCTTGACCGGATACCTGCTGAGTATGAGAGAGTGTGCTGTAAGACCTGGAAAAATGGCATGGGTTAGGGAAGAATTTTTAACATGTTTGGGTAAAAAAGGGAAGTAAGTAGGGATGTGGCTTGAATGCCATCGCAGGAATCGAGTTCAAGTGTTGGAACAAGAAAGGATGTTGTGCCCTAACTATTTAAAGCGAAAAATGAACATAAGTGAGCTTAGAAAAAGCTTAAAAAAATTTTAGACTTACATAGTCTCTTAGAAGCTTAACTTTTTAAAACAGGAAAGTACTTTGTGGCAATTGGATCAAATCTGTTTTGCAAGGTATAGAAATTAATATGCTAATTTCCTACGACTAAATATCCTCTGGCTTAAAATCATCATAAGCATGTTTTGTATCTGGGGGAGTAAGCCATCATACAACTTTTATTTGGAATTTTTTTATGATTTAGAGATTTCTTATTATTTTCTTCGGAGAGCCCGGCAAGCTCCCCGTGACGTATTCGATATGCCAGACACAGTAACAACAAAGTCTCCAATGGAGACGTTACTGGGCCCGCTCGAGCAAATCGATGATCAACGGGAGGGCCTTTACTTTACTTTATTATTTTCTATGTTTACATAATTCTAACATAGGTATGTTTTCTTTCCATCCCCCTCTTATACATTTCTAATCTTTTAAATTTTTCCAGTTTGTGGCAGACTGTCTCTGATGGAGTTTCACTAGTTGTGCTTGTTTTTGGTTTTTGAGATATGTAATTTTGGTAAATAGCTTTCTTTTCTTTTCTTGGCACCCGGTGATGCTCAGGGTACTCCTGTTCCCTGCAGTCAGGAATTACTCCTGCCGGTGCTCAGGGGACCATATGGGATGCGGGGGTGGAGCCTGGGATGGTTGCAAAGCAGACATCCCATCCTCTGTACTTTCCGCTCCGGCCCCTAGACAGCTTTCTAAAATTAAAGTTTAGGTCATGATATACATTCTCAAATCTTTTTCCTTACTAACATTTTTAGTCTCTCTTGAAGGTAATTTTGAAGTAGATCTTGAAGTTAGCCTGTTTTTCAGAGGTAAAATTGAAGAAAAATGGGCATGATCAGTTCCTTCCCCAGACCGAATAACTTATTTCCATTGTCTTTAATCCATAAAGTTTTTCGTGAGCATGTCTATGAATCTGAACGCTCCCCATGAGTGGTTTCCTCCTTTGACAGCCAAGTTCCATCTGTGGCCATGTTTATTCTGATAGGTTACCTTATCTGTGGGGATGATCCTGGAAGGTGCCAGAGATCTTAACGATTGCATATTATGTTGAGTAGCTCAAGTTTGAGGTAAACTAAATGCTATCTTGAAAGGCATCTGAGTCATATTTTGTGTAACTTTGCTCTAAATAATTTATAAGCTAATGCTAAAGGTCTTCCCCTTTCTCAAATAGGGAACTCTCCAGATTTATTGCTGCGGGGCGACTACATTGCAAAATAGATAAAGTGAATGAAATAGTGGAAACCAACAGGTATTCTATGTTTGTATATCTTTTGTAATTCTGCTCGGAATAAAGGGGATTCCCTCAGTGCCTAGTAAAAGTAGGTCAGCTATTTTTATGGGAGTAATGTGACTGCTAAATAATTCGTTTTTTTCTTGAATTTATTTATAGACCTGATAGCAAGAACTGGCAGTACCAAGAAACTATCAAGAAAGGAGATCTACTACTAAACAGAGTTCAAAAACTTTCCAGAGTAATTAATATGTAAAACCATGTAAACAAAGGATTTTATTTGGAATTTTTATAACTTCACTTATGTGCTCAATACAACTGTATAATAAATAGTGCGTTGCTTTTCTTTTGATTTAAAGGGGTCCAGTAATGTTAATAGCACTTGGATTATCCACTAATGCATATTTTCATCATGTCATTTGAACATCTCTGGCTCAGATCCTGACTGATCAGGAAGCTTTGGGTACATACTCTTAGTTCACGGTCAAATAGTGTCTCCCGCTTAGTACATGAAAGACGAAAGAAAAGGGACTGATAATATCTTTAAAACAACTATAGTGGCTATCTTTTATTTTTTTTCTGGCCATACCAGGCTGTACCTAGCTGTGCACTCAGGTATCCCCTGGGCATGCTCAGGGGACCCAATGAGGTGTAGGGATCGAACCCAGGATAGATGGTACAGCCCTACCCGCTGCACTGTCTTCTGTCCCTTTTTGGAGGCCGTCATAACCCTGGATTCCAGAATCTGGAACACTAGTTAACACTAGTTGTAGTGAGCATAGATAGTAGAAACAATACATAAGGGTTGAGGCGATAACTCCCAGTGGTAGAGCACTTCCCTGAGTTCAGTCTCTGGCCATGATTCTTCTGCATCACACGGCAAATGGCTTTTGATTGTCAAAGTGGGGTTTATGTTTTTTATATGCTGATAGAATGATTAACAAAGGAGAAATAGATGATTCCAACTGATTCAGGATAGCTTCATTTAATTCAACATTGATTCATGATAAAAAATGAGAATAGGATAAAAAAAAATAGAGTCCTCTTGCAAATGAGAATATACGTAGTGGCAAAGAATCAAAACCATTGAAAGTTAAGACAGTGACTGTCTTTTTCAGTACTGTACCAAGAGGGCTGTTGGCTATTTGCCAAGGAAGGCACTGCAGTGAGGCCTGAGCTTAGTTTCACCAGACAGTGGTGGGTGGGAGGCTGTTAAAATGCTGTCCCTGTATTTGAGCATATTACTACAAAAGCTTGATAAAAAGAATATCTTCACAGTGGCTGTCATTGGTAAGTCCCCTTAACAAAACCCACAATTCTAAGTCAGTATAGTGCTGGAGAGATAGTACAAGGATTATGATTCTTGCCTTTCATGTAGCCAGCCTGGGTTTGATTCCTGGCACCACGAGGTCCCCCAAGCATCACGAGTTGTGACCCTAGAGGCCTCCAACCCCAGGATGGCCTGGGTAATACCTGATGCCACAGGGCCCAGACAGGACTCTTTAGTCTTACTTAAAACTGCTGACTCAGTTAACTGAGATTCCCTGGGAGGGGCCCCCAACTCCTAATACTGCTCATGAGGGTGTCCTCCGCTGATAAAAAATTAATACTACTAAACCCCATGCTCCCATGCCCATTTAAATTAGAATTTGAGGCCAGAGAGTGTGAGTGGTCAAAGGACTTGGCCTTGTAGTCACCCCTGATTCAGTTCCTAGAACTGCATGGTCCCTTGAGCAGAGAGCTGGGGGTAGTCCCTGTGTAGCACTCGCTGTGGCCTAATACCCCACTCCCCGAATAAATATGAGTAGATCTCTGATTTTAACAAATGGACTCATTGCAGTCTTGTTGTCTTGGGTGTATCCAGTGGTGCTCGGGGCTTACTCCTGACTGCCCAGAGGATCGTATGTCTTGTAGTGGATTGGGCTTGCTGTGTGTGAGGCAAGCACCTTAACTCCAAAACTGCCCTCCAGCCTTCACCTCAGTCATGTTAGGAAATTGTCGGATTATGACGTCAGTGTCTTGAGCCACAAAAATAGTTCAAAGGCTGAAGCACGTACTTGGTATTGAAGAGCCCAGGTTGAACCTGAGCATCTCAGGAAATAACACCTGTTTCTAGAAATAACTAATCTTTTCCTTCAGTCCCTACCCTTGGAACTACTTGAGAACAACCCTGAGCACTAAGTTGGGAGTAACCATAATTCTGTTGGGTTACTTTTAGCCCAAAAGCACAAAATATAAATGTATCTGGATGTGATCAAACAACACCTGGACTGTGGGATTTAAAGCAAGCCATACGCTTTCTGCTGATTGAGAAAGAAAATCTCGGAATGCTTTTTTCTTCCCTTCCTAGCTTTTATATTTCTTTACCATTTAAGCCCAGTTGCCTAGTGATAAATATAAAATCACAGGTAAATCCTGTTCATTTACAGTGGGAATTCCAACACTGATAACATCTAGTATGAATAACCATTTTATGATGAAGCAAACAGTATAATCTTGAAGAGGAGTCTTAGTGTGTGTGTGTGTATATGTGTCCTGAAAAGTAATAGATGTTCCCTGCACAAAGAATTTCCAGCAATGAAAATGCCTTTGCATTGAATATATATTACAGTGCAGATAGATGAACGGTCTCCATATTTGGCCCAATGCATACATCTAGTCTTTAGTACAAGGTGAGCCTCTTTGTTCGTGCTGTAGACTTCACTGCGTAATTACAAATCCTCTCGGACAACTATTAAGCCTCCAAGGATCAGCTTGGAGCTGAAAGTAAAATCGGAGCCCAAGAGATCTCTTGAATGAGGCCATATGGAATGGAAGAAATAATGACACCAACTAGGAAAACTCAACTCTGAGAACCATCCATCCTCACAGTTGAGATTCACATGTAAATGAAAACACATTTCATTTTTGGATGTTTTCGTCCAGTTCTGGCCTCCCCCACCCAGGGGATACAAGACTCAGAAATTCAAAGTAGTTCGGCATGGCCTCGGAGGCTTCCTGATGAGATACAACAAAGTTCCAAGTCTTGGTCACTTACAGTCTCGAACTGCTTTCTTCCACTAAATGTTTTCAAGGAAAAAAGTAATTTTTTGTGGCTTTGGGGCTACACTCTGCTGTGAGCAGGGCTTCCTCCTGGCTTTGTGCTCAAGGGATCCTGGCTGGCGGGGCTTGGGTTGGGTGGGGGAGGGGCAGAGGTTGGCCTGTGTAAGGCTAGCGCCCTACCCACTATTGCTCCAGCTCTCAATGAAAAAGTGCAAGCTTAGTAACAGAAAACTGAGACAAAATTCAGAATCGACCTATATGGCTTCTCTGAAGAACTGACAAACGAGGTGAACTCTGGGTGCAGGTTCCTGGTTAGGGTAGACGGCTAATGCGCGTCCAGCAGGGCAGCTGACTCAGGCCCCTTACCCTACACGCGTGGCCCTGCTGGCATTTCAGTTTTGTCCCTGCATAACCCCCCATATTGTACACAAGAAATTGATGGCCACCCATTTTCTTAAATCAGCTAGTATTTATGTATAAATTATTTTAGAGGGGTGGGATCTGGGGGTCATACTTGGGCTCAGGGGCTATTCCTGGTTCTGTTCAGACTCTTGGCAGCGCTTCGGGGACCATATGCAGTGCCAGGGACTCAAACTAGGGTCAGCTGCACACAAGGCAAGCGCTTTACTGCTTGTACTATCAGGTCCCAGAATTCCAGAATTCTTTCTCTTGGTTTTTGGGTCACACTTGCTCAGAGTTGCTTCTAGTGGTCTGGGGGTGAGAGGGTGGGAACCATGCTGTGCTTGGGCCCAGCTCGAATCTCCAGCACAGAGTGTGCTCATTCCACTGAGTTTTCTCCAACCCGAGGCAATGGGTTTTAAGTTTTGGGGCCATACACAGCAGTGCTTTGGGTTTACTCCTGGCTCTTCACTCACGGATCACTGCTGGCGGAGTACATGTGGCACATCAAACCCAGATGGGCTGCATGCAAGGCAAGTGCCCATTCTGCTCTACTGTCACTCCGGCATCCTACTTTTGGTTGTATCCACGTATATAACTTTGTTTTCTACTTAATTTTCTGGTTTGAGCGTACTACACGGTAGATTTATTGTCAAATAATAGTTGACTTGCTAAAAATTGTGCTTAGCTTCTTTATTAATAAGTTTTCAAGTAACTTTTATTATCGAGTTTCAGAACAGAACAAAATAGGAATCACCAGAATGAACACTCTTTTGTAATTATTTTTTTTTAAGCATTACGGCCAATTTACCAATAAAATTGGATGTACGTAGAATTTAATAATGGTTAAGTATTTAAAAGCCTTACAAATCATATAATACTTAATTTCTAATATTAAAATTGAATAGTTTTTGGGCTTGAAGGTGAGGAGGTAAGGCACTTGTCATGAATGTAGAGTCTTCAGCTGACCCTGGTTCAATCCTGGCACTGCATATGGTCCCCCAGGCAGCAGCAGTGGTCATTACTGAGCACAGATCAGGGAAGAGCACCTGACACTGCCAGGGATGGCCCCCAAACCAAAATAAACAGTAATTTTAGATCTACTTGAACTTACTGTGCAATCTTTTAGGAATGGAAATGCTGTTTAAAGAATATTTTTAAAAAAACTACCTGCCCCTAAACTTTTACCTGATAGAAAATGATGCCTATCTTGCTAGTTGACCTTGCACACACATTGCAGCATGCAGGCTGAGTCAGCTGCCCTGCTGGAAGCACATTCGCCACCCAGCCTGACTCAGAATGTGCACCCACAGCTCACCTACTCTGTCAGTTCTTCAGAAAAGCCACATAGGTCAGTTTTGAATTTTGTTTTCAGTTTTCAGATAGTAATGTTAAACTTTCCATTGAATACAGTGCTCGGGTGTTTGTGGCTCTGTGTTTAAGAGTGACCCATGTAGTGCTCAGGGGACCTTATATGATATTTTGGTTCAAACAAGGCAAAGCGTCTCAAGCAAGGCACTCACCTCACATCCTGTACTATCTCTTCAGTCCATACTTAGGATTTTTGTGATTGCATATTTGTTTCTTATAACTTGATTAAGTGTGATTAAGTGTTGGTTCTAGCTAGTAGGTTAATAAGATATTGGCTAATTGGTTAATAGAATCATTGGTTAATATCACTTAAGATGTATAAAGGCATACATCTTAATCCTTAATTTTGTTTTTTTTTTTGCATTTTGGGTCACGCCTGGCGTTGCACAGGGGTTACTCCTGGCTCTGCACTCAGGAATTACTCCTGGCGGTAGCTCAGGGGACCATATGGGATGCTGGGAATCGAACCTGGGTCGGCCGTGTACAAGGCAAACGCCCTACCCACTGTGCTATCACTCCAGCCCCAATCCTTAATTTTTA